AAAGTGCCAAATTCAAATTTGACGCTTTCCCCGCCTCCCTCTTCTGTCCGTAGGTCGATTCTCCGGCCGCAAGTCGAAGTGAAAATTTGTGGCCGGAGAAGTACGAATCTCAAAAAGTTCGTAAGTGGAGCCGACTGTAAGTCGAGACTCCACTGTAATAGTCTGAGTGTTAAACCTGCTTAATTTTGAAGGGTGTGGTCAGCATTACATTACTTTTACACCCCCATAAAAGTCAGACTATATTAGTAGTAGTAGTAGTAGTAGTCATCGTAGTAGTAGTATTTGTTGTTTTATTTGTTTGCCGCATTTCTCCCAACAAGGGACCCAAAGCATTAAAATTCACACAATTTAAAAACACAATTAGTTAAATATTAAAAGATAAATTAAACAATATATGATTTAAAATACAATCAAAAGATTAAAAACATAAAAAATATGAAAAATGTCTGCTAAAATGGGGTTCAGGGATTCAGTTATAATTGTTAAAGGCCTGCCTGAAGATATGGGCATTTAGCTTTTTTCGATAAGATTCCAAAACTGCCTAGGTTTTGATGTTTCCAGTAGGAGAGACAGGAGACAAGAATAATTAACTTTGTCTGAAATTCAGCAGAACAGTTTATTAATAAATGTACAAGCTGTGTGTTTATAGTTTAAAAGTTAGTATCTGTGATATATACAGTATAGAAAAATCTTAGGGAAATTTATTTTTATCAGTAAAATAATAACTGAATCCTATTTGTTGTTGCAGGAATTAAAAGGTGGGAAGGCCTATGCAAAGGTAAAATATTATAACTGTGTCAATGAAACGTGTTTTTGCTTTTCCCTAATCTGTATATACTTTTAATTTAGAAATCTCTACAGATTTATGATTCTTCTCATTACCCTAGATATGGAAGTTAGTGATTATTGATGTTAATTTTAGAGGAACTAGTTGCATACACCAAGAAAATGTAGATGTATTTTTAGAATATAATAGTCCCCATAGCACCTCTTAACCTGTTTCCCACTTTCATTACTTCAAAGGTTATTTTCCAATATTCTTATAAGGAAACATTTGATTTGCTATCAGAATGAATATTGAATAGCCTAAACTGGTAATACCCTTCATTTTGTTTTGTTTGTGTTTATTTTTGTCTACAGCTGGGTTTTGCAGACCTCAACCTGGCAGAGTTTGCTGGATCAGGAAATACCACTCGTCGCTGTTTACTTGAAGGTTATGATACTAAAAACACAAGGCAGGACAATTCAATTCTCAAAGTAATTGCAACTTTTTCTTCCTATTTTCCATTATGTGTTGTTTAAAAGTAGGGAGAGTATACCATCCATTCAGCCAGATTGAACATTTCCCCCCCTAAATATTGACATAACAATTAATGAAAACCCAAGAACACAACAGGCCAAACCCCCCAAATGGGATTGGTTTGATTGTGAGTGTAGAGACCGAAAAGTTCTCCTAAGGAAGTTTTTTAGACAATATAAGGAACAGGAGCTAGCATACATACCACACAAATTCTACGAACTAAAGAATCAGATACATATTGTTTAAGGAAAAGACAAGCTATTATTCATAACCAATGGAAGCAACCACTCACTGCAATATCCCTTAGAAAATCCAAACTATTTTGGGGCATAGTGAATAACATATCTAAAAGCAGTTTCTCAGATCCAGCTAACATGAAACCACATATTTGGTCCAGACATTTCTCAACCTTGTTTTTATAATAAGGACAACTTCACCAGTGTCAAGGGCGAAGTCCTGCCTAAGAAAGTTCCGAAGTGGCCTCCAGTCACCCCTACAGAGATAAAAGAACTAATTTCTCAGCTAAAACTGGGCAAATCACCAGGATCTGATATAATATCTCCAGAGCTATTAAAGTTTGATATGGATTGGTGGATGGCACCTTTGGCTGCCCTTTTTACCATGGTAGACAAAGCGGGCCTATTACCAGAAGCCTGGACCAATGCAGTAGTAGTTCCAATCTACAAATTGGGTGACCCCCTAAACCTTAGTAATTATAGACCAATCAGTCTTCTATCTATCATAGGAAAACTGTGTGCTAAACATCTTTTAAATAAACTGGCAGCCTGGGAAGAGCAGATGGCAATAATTGGACCAGAACAAGTGGATTTAGGAAAGGGAAATCCACCCTTGATTACTGCATCACCTTAGCACATCTGATAAATAAATACATAAAGGAGGCCAAATCTAAACTATATGTAGCCTTTTTAGATCTAAGGGGAGCTTTTGATTCAGTTGAACGAGAAAAATTGTGGAACAAACTAGCCAACCTCTCAATTGACAGAAGGCTGATATTTCTTATTAAGAGACTTTATTCTACAACCTCCTGCCAAATCAAATACTCAAACTCAGGGATTTTAACTGACTGGATATTCACCAACAGAGGGGTCTAACAGGGCTGTTTATTAGCCCCTTCCCTGTTCAACTTGTTTTTGCATGAATTGGCTCTATGCAGGTCCCTTTTATACGCAAACAATGTAATTATCTCGTACCAAACTTGGTTTAAGACGTCTCATGTACAAATACCTTGAGTTTGTAGCCAATAATAACTCACAACTCAATTATGATGTCTAAAATTGTGATATTCCCAAAATCATGGAAATTGCAAAAGTGGATTTTTGAGGGAAGAAAGATTGAGCAGGTTAAACACCTCAGGTATCTGGGTATTACGTTTCATTTCAAACATACCTGGGTCCTACATCGTAAAGCAGCAAAACAACCAGCCAGTCAATCCATAGATTCTTTTATAATACAAACAACCAGCCAAGGGTACTACCCAGTCAATCCATAGATTCTTTTATAATACAGGAAATAGATATGTACCACCTGCATTAAAAGTGTTTAATGCAAAGATTATTCCATTGTTGCTGTACGGCAATACCTTTATGGATAAAGGCCTGGGATCATTCCCTAGAGCAAATCAAATCTATGTTCCTGCGGAAAATGCTGGAAGTACCACCTTGTGTGCCGTATGCGGCTCTCTACCTAAAGACGGGCCAAAATATGGTAGCAACTCAGGCATAGCTGAGATCAATCAAGTGTCGGTTGAAGATCCATTATAACTTCAAAGAGGGCATTTTTACACCACATTTTCCGAGAACCAATCATCGCTAGAGAGCTTGCCTATATTAAAAAGAAAATCTCGCTAATAGGCCTGTCAGTGGAATCACTTGGCTCCCTGCCCCACAAGGAAGTATTTCAGCTAATTAAATGCAGGATATTATATATAGAATTCCAGGATCTCCTAAGTGCAGCAAATAAGATCTGTTCCCCCTTAGCCACCTGATTCCTGTTAGGCAGGGCCAGAGGACCCTATACTGTCATATATTACAATCGCCTCAAAAACACAGAGCCTATTCCCTGGCCAGATTTAATGTAATGTTTTCAGCAGTATTATGTGGCAGGTTTCAGGGTATTCCTTACAATGAGAGGAACTGATCTTGTGAACTGGGAGGAATTGAGTCACTAGTATGCATGTGTTTATATTGCCCTCGCTACTCTGAACCCCGCACTCAATATTGCTTAAGGTAAGAGGGTGGTCAGATATAGACAGAATGCATTTTCTGTTAAATGACAGGGTAGAAGACAGGGTGGAGAAAGGAGCATGCTCCTTAGCACACATAGTGAACATGCCAAAAATAGCACAATTTGAACCAGAACTCCCTCCTTCAGCCAGGTTTAAGAATCTTCTGATGTAATCACTGGGCTAATTATGACAATATAAATTTTAATTATTATAAGGTACATAGGATAGGGTGGAAAGTGTGTCTTGCAGCATAAATAGTAAAACTACATTGAATCTGAACAAACTTTGATATTGTTTCAGAAAGTTGCAAACAAGTTTTACTGAATGTAGTTTTTGACTAGGTATTTTGTATATGTGAATAAAGGTTTTTTATCTGAAATTTGATTTCAAATTAACAAAAGCTAAGATTATTAGAAGGTCATAATGTGGGTGCTCTAGTAGAAATCTGGCTGCTCAAATATTGTGTAGTGAAAATCTATCAGAACATTTTTGAGTGAACTTTTGTAAATCCAGCCATGCTGATTAAACGAATTCGAAAATGTTGTTTTTAAGTAGTTCTTTCATTGGCTTGAAGTTTGGGAAAACTTGCTAATTTTGTTGTGAGTCATGGCTTGATAAGATAAATAGAGAAAATGTGATTCTCCCCCCCACCCTTCCACACTGCTGAACTCTGCCAAGGGCATTTGCACTAATAATTGTAATCTACGTGTAATGCTTACTCATTTGAGTCCCTTTCTATCCAAAGTGGCTTTTAACCTATGGTCTTTGTAAGTGTACTGCTTGCTTGTATATACCGTATTTTTCGCTCCATAAGACGCACAGACTTTCCACACCCCTGTTTTGTGGGAAAAAAGTGAGTCTTATGGTGCAAAAAATACAGTATATTTTTAGAAAGCCACAGAATATGCAAAGTTCTATATTCTGTTGGGCTATCATTGGCCACAATCCAGTGCTATATAATTCTGCAGGATTCTGCTGCAGCAGAAGTACACCATTGGATCTTAGCTGTTCATTTCTATGAGAAAACTCCTATGTTGCTAATTATACCAAACCTGTGTAATAGGCTAGTGATATGTTGTTTCCCTTGTGATACTACTCATACTTTTCTTCTGATTATATTTCTATTTATTCTTTCTAACCTGTAGGTCTTGATCAGCATGCAGCTAATGTCTGGAGACCCATGCTTTAAAACGTATGTTTATGCCTGTGATGCAGCAGATGAAATTTTAGTTATACTGTTCATAATTGATTGCTGGGATTTTGAATAAATTGGTTGCCTTGATGCAGCTTATCTCTTTGCACCACTGTGTTCTTCAGCAATTCAGAATGCTGTAGTGATGCAAGTTTAGACAAGATTTGATGGACAACGCCATATTGCTCTCATTTGTAAAACTCAAATGAAAGAGTCAATCACTGGCATGCTATTAAGATGCAGATAAGCAGATGCAGATAAACAGCCCATGAAGGGCTGAATAGGTTGTATCCAAGGGAATATGCTTGTGTTAATAGGTTGCTTGATGCAATCTTGTATGCGCACCTAGCATTACAGAATATGTGTGGAAATCATTCTGTTACCTGGGTTGGATTTGTTGCTTTGAGTCATATAATTACAAGCTGAACAGACTGTTACCTGTCCAGAAAAGATGTGTCCAGAAATGTCTAATATCATGCCCATATGAGTACACATGAAAATAGAAATGCACATGGCCTCAAAATATATGTTTCAGTGGCTCATATTATTCTGTGTCATAAGTAGTACTTGAGAATAAAGGTACTTTGACAGCAAATGGAACCAGCATGAAAACCAGCCACCTTGGGTGCTTTTTAAGGAAAAAGGCAGAATAAAAATATTTTAAGTTAATAATAAATAAATAAACATTGCAGCATGGCATGGGCCTAGTCAGCCACATTTTCCAGGATATTCCATTCTAGTGTTTTCCAAATGTTCCATTTATTCCTGCATCCCCACAATATTCAGTCATTATTCACTGTGTATGGTCATTCTTCATTGGACTGTTTTAGTATTCTCCCCTTAATATTTTTTAAAAAAAACTTTTATGTACTTCTACAAAACATGGGATTTCCCCACACTGGCTGATAACCTTTCTTTGTATATCAATGCTGTGTTGATTACGTAAAGATGGAGATTCTAATGTTGGGTAGATTGTTGGACTGGTCTGAGGAAAATTTACCCAACCTGGATGGAGTTACACACACCCCAAAAAGTGTTTGCAGCTTGGGGTGCACTCAAACCCATCTCTCTCTATGGAGGTTCAGATACCTGCTGTGGCCAGGAGTGCCTTTTATCAATTCTGGCTGATTGTCTAGCTGTACCCTGGATAAGAAATAACTCACAACAGTGGTCCACGGATTAGTAATCTTTAAAATAGACTGCAGTAATGCTCTCTACATAGGGCTGCCCTTGAAAAGGGTCCAGAATGCGGCTGCCAGACTGATTACGGATACCAGCAGATATGAACGCATATCCCCAGTCTTGGTAAACTTTCATCAGTTCCCTGTTACTTCCCGTTGGGTGCTGATTATGACTTATAAAGCCTTTAATGGTTTACGGCCTTGATACTTGTCAGAACATTTCTCCTACAAATAATTATCCATTCCACATGCTCCTCGTGGTCCTTGATGCTAAAAATTGTGACACCTAAGGAGGGCAGAAGAGCTAATACCCAGGAACTGTGCTTCCTTGGTTGTGGCCTTTTCCATATGGAATAAGCTTCCTACAAAGATTTGTAAGGTGCCATCTCTCTTGGTTTTCAGAAAGTTAATATCAAAGTATAAAGCTGCTGTTTATTAGCATTTTGCTCATTTACTAATTGAGCTGGGATATTCAAATGTGGTTTTAAAAAACTAAATTTGCAGGTTTTCTCAAATCAGCGATAGGGGTTTTATTGTAATAAATGCATTTTCCTGTTTGTTTGTTTGTATGCCTGTAAATATGTTTTGATGGGTTGTGAATTACCCAGAGAGCACTGATTCGGTGGTATAGAGGTTTAAATAAGAAAGACAGCTTGATTTACACGTGATGAATTAACTTATTCTGTACTTCAGCCAAAACTATACTCATGACCTGGGGTTCAATCCCAGGTAGCCAGCTCAAGGTTAACTCAACCTTCTATCCTTCCAAGGTCGGTAAAATGATTACCCACCTCGCTGGGTGGTCAATGTGTAGCCTGCATAATTAACTTGTAAATTGCCCAGAGAGTGCTTGAAGCACTATGCGCGGTATATAAGCAGCATGCTTTGCTTTGCTTTTGCTTTTATTCTATATATGATGGTGATATGTTATAGAGGACTCCTAGACATGAGAAGTATTGACTTGTATGGGTCTGCTTGTTTAAAAATACAGTGGTGCCTCGCAAGATGAATGTAATTCGTTCCGCGAGTACCGCTGTCTTGCGAAAAAATCGCCTTGTGAAATCAGTTTCCCACTATAATCTTGACAAGAGGACATTTAATGTACAGTTATTGCTTAGCATCCTATTCCTCTTAGGACAGGTGGGGTGTGATCAAATCTCTGTGCAGTTACTCTCTAGATGCTGCTTTATGCAAGACAGTATCCACCAACCCCTTGCATAAGCATTATGACCCATTGTTTGCAATGGGACACTTCTCCATCTTGTGTACGATAAGTGCAAGACTGAGATTGCCAGAATGAACATGGAGCATTTCTTGCAAGAAGCTCTTACACTCAGTGAAAACAAACAGAATTCTGTCCATAATACATTATAATTTCTTCTTTATATTTATGTCTTTCTTTCCTTCCTCCCTCCCTTCTTTCTTTCTTTCTTTCTTTCTTTCTTTCTGTGTTTCTTTCTTTCTTTGTTTCTTTCTTTCTTTCTTTCTTTCTTTCTTTTGTTAGAAAGACCACCTTTCATATTTACAAACATTTTCACAGGTGTGCACAGTAACTTTGGAATAAGAATATTCACCTGTTCCAAGGCACTAACTAACCCTAGTTTGCTGTAATAAACATTATTTTTTGAGAAGTAGATGTATTTCTTGACAGTTACATTCTAGAAGAACTATACCCATAAACATTCTACTTCTTCGAGCACTGTAACCTTCCCCCCAGCCTATTTACATCTGTAGTTTTTTTAAAAAATTTCTTTTGCTTTGCTGCCTTTGAATTTATAATGCATATTGAGGGAATGACTTGATTAAAACATCGTAATTTCATTTCAACAAACCTTGTAATGTTGGATTGGAATGCATCTCCTCATATCCTTGGCTTAATACAGGAAAGCCTTGTTTGCTGTGTTGTGGAAAGTACTTTTTAAAAAGTGTCCTGGTTCACATGCTGCAGTAAGCCAGAAATACGACTTAAAGAGAGAGTGCCAAACAGAGAGAACATTTCCAGCCCACAAAACTGTGCTTTTTCATCAAGGAATTTAATAGCTGAACCACACCAATACGGGCATTTGGTTTTTGTGGTTCTTCTCTTTATAGCTGTCATCCAAATTTCTCTTTTCAGAGAAACACAGAACAGGTTTTAAGCTCAAGGGAGATAGATAGCCAGCATGGATAAGTTTAGTTGGTAATACAGAATTTGGACAAAAGTGTAGGAAGCTGCACTGCCTTGCAGATGTAAAATTCTGAATCATAGCAACTATCTTGAAAATAATCCCCCTAACTGAATTAAAGCGGAGTTAAATAATAGTTCAAAATGTGTTAAGCAAGTTCTGTTCTTTGTTGAAGGATAAAATTTTTTAACCTTATAGAAATAAAAATTAAGCAGTGTTAAGTGAGCACAGAAAAAAAAGCAAAACAGATGCATGCATTGGATTTAAAAAGCAATGTGTTGGTGATTAAAGGAGCTGTCTGCTACAGACTGTGCTAGCTGGGGTATTCTAGCAATTGTAGACCAAAAAATTAACATTTCCCAGTTCTACTTTGTTTTAGCCTTTCTATGTGCAGTGTCTGTGAATGTGCGTGTTCCCTGTTTCTTCAAGCTGTATACCTCACTGTACTGTAGTAGAAGGAAAGATACATTTAGGATGCATTTCTGTACTAATAAGATAGGTTTCAATGAGTCACGCAGCTTGGAGAATGGTTTAATTGTAGCGGTGTAGCTGGGAAGCTTTTGTTTTCATCAGCCATACTCCAGAAGCTAAATGAAGGCAATTAAAAACTGCTCTGTAGCAGTGTGTACATTCTTAATCATAAATCCTACAGTATTTGCTTTTGACTTTGCTTTCCATTCACTTCTATGTTAGTGTTTCTAGGCAATACTTATTTTCCCAAGAATATATTGATGGTAGAATACCATTTCCAGAAGACTGTAAAGAGATGTCACTTTTGCCCAAGCAGAATGACACATATTGCTGTCTTTAATAATTACTAATCCTGCTGAAAGTTATAAAGAGGTAAAAAGGCTAAAGTTTCTTGTGTCGTTATGTTTTGTAGAAATGCTTATTTTAACAGTTTTCAATAAATTAATTCTTTAGTAGAATCTCTCTCACACACACACATTCTAGTAGTTACGTATAGCAGATTAAAACCAGGACTTAAGGTATTCTGTGATGTGTGCAGAAGATGGCCAAAGGTTTGCCTTTCAGGTGCCAAGGAGCTTTTACCCAGTCCTAGATTTGTGATGAGTATATATTCATGATGAGTATATATAAGTATATTTGTATGCTTATGACAGTTAAGACTGTCTGTTTGTATGCTTATAACAGTTATGACTATATGCTCATAACAGTTATGGTTTTTAAAGTTATGGTTCCCCTTGCCCTCAAGGAAACAGTCATTAGGCCCATCAGGAAGAAACCGCTTGGTGGCGGATGATATTCGCAACTATAGGCCTGTTGCCAATATTTCCTTCCTTAGTAAAGTAGTAGAGAGGGTGGTGGCTGACCAGCTCCAGGTCCTTTTGGATGAAACCAATGCCCTGGATCCATTCCAGTTGGTTTTCAGGCTGCGGCACGGAAACAGCTTTGGTTTCCTTTTGATGACCTGTTGAGGGAGGCCAACAGACAAAACGTCTGTTGGTCCTCCTCGATATATCAGCCACCTTTGATACTATTGACCACAGTATCCTCCTGGGGAGGGTCTCCAAGTTGGGAATCGGTGGTCTGGTGCTTGCCTGACTCTGATCCATTGAGGACTGTCCTCAGAGAGTACAGCTTGGGGAGAGTGTATCGGCCCAGTGTAGTCTAAATTGTGGGGTTCCATGGG